AAAACACACCTTTCAAGAACCAAATGGAGGTGGGTTTCTTTATGAACAGAGCCTCTCACAGTGGCTTATTTCCACATGAATCCTGTGATGGTAATAAAGCCTTTAGGAGGCGGGTGGGAAGAGAGACGCATGGGGAAGGGGCAAAGGAAGTGTGTGTCAGCTATTCCAGTCCTCATCATACTTTCTGTGTGGACAGCACATCACATTTGGCTGGAGCTGAAAAGCAAAATCCTATATTTAATGAGCCAATAAAATGCCTGGAGCACCAGTGGGCTTGGGGAGGCTTGACTTTCCACTAAGCTAAAAGCCGGTAATTGAGCCTGTGTGCCAGCTGAGACCTGGAGGTTTCTGCTGAAAGAGTCACGGCTTTCACAATTTTTTTCTTCTTTCCCTCTCACGTGCAGCCAGCTTCTGATGAGGACTCCAATTCTCCCGGGAGTCAACTGCTATCACCTAAATTATTTTGATTAACCCTTAACTCTGAGAGTCTCCATTTACTGACATGCTGCATTAACGGCCACGCTCCTGTGTAAATGCCTAAGTTGGGGGAGTGATAAACCAGGTCTATTACCAGGGGATGAGGCTGAGCTGCGTTTTTTTTTTTTTTAAGCTTGAAATAGAACTATAACTGTGTCTGCCTCAGGAATGCACAAGGGAGAGGAAAACGGTAGCACCAAAGACCATTTTGTATCATTTTAAGCAGATTCCTCCCCGCCCCTCTTCAAATAGGAAGTTTAGCTGTGAGATTGATTTAGGGGGAATGTTTTTTAAAACACTGAGTGGACTCCACTCCTCGATCATGTCTTTCAACAATTTTCATTGTATACCTGGCCCCTCATTCCCAATAGTCCTCACTGTCTGTGCCTGACTTAGTGTGGGTTCTGCTGAGAGTTCTACAGAATGCTTTCTGGAGCTTTTGAGGCTGGTGGTAGAGAGTGGTTTGAGGCATTTAAGAAACTTAAAATACAACAAAAGAAACATTATTGTCTTAGTCCATTCAGGCTACTATAACAGAATACCACAGGCTGGGTGGCTTATGTTTAGTTCCGAATTCTGGAGTCTTGGGAAGTCAAAGATCAAGGCACCTACAGATTCAGTGATTGTTGAGAGCTTTATCCCTGGTTAATAGATGCCATCTGCTTAATGTATGCATAATGTCTCTTTTATAAGGGCACTAATCCCATTCAAGAGGACTCCAACCTCCTGACCTAATCACATCTCAAAGGCCCTGCCTCCCAAACCTATCACGTTGGACATTAGGAACTAATATATGAATATAAGGGGACAAAAACCTGAAGTCTCTAGCAATTATGATAGATTAATTCAACTAGTCTCTAGCCATTGTGAAAAACTAATTCAACTACATCTGTGTACATAAAAGGCTAGTAATGTGATGACTTTTGAACTTCATCCAGAACCTGGATCCTATGGTGTGTGATATGATAAAAGAAATCAATTATATGGCCAAAGTCCCCTGAGACTTTGGTTGAGTTTTTCAAAGTGTGTAAAGTGAAACTCAGGGAAACATTCTCTAATGACTCATCTGTCAAGGTTAATACATAGCTGTGATTTGTCATTGTTCTTGTTGTTTGGTCACTAAGTTGTGTCTGACTCTTGTGACCCCTGTGGACTATAGCTTGCCAGGCTCCTCTGTCCTTGTGATTGCCCAGGCAAGAATACCAGAGTGGGTTGCCATTTCCTTCCCCGGGGGTCTTCCAAACCCAAAGATTGAACCTGTGGCCCCTGCATTGACAGGCGGATTCTTTACCACTGAGCCACCTGGGGAGCTGTGTTTGCAGGTAACTGTGATTGCACACACCCAAATTTCATGGGCAGCAAGTATTGGTCACCTGATGTAAAGAGCCAACTCATTGGAAAAAACCCTGATGCTGGGAAAGATTGAGGGCAGGAGGAGAAAGGAGTGACAGAGGATGCTGCTGCTGCTGCTAAGTTGCTTCAGTCGTGTCTAATTCTATGCAACCCCATAGACAGCAGCCCACCAGGCTCCCCTGTTCCTGGGATTCTCCAGGCAAGAACACTGGAGTGGGCTGCCATTTCCTTCTCCAATGCATACAAGTGAAAAGTGAAAGTGAAGTCGCTCAGTCGTGCCCGACTCATAGCGACCCCATGGACCGCAGCCCACCAGGCTCCTCTGTCCATGGGATTTTCCAGGCAAGAGTACTGGAGTGGGACAGAGGATGAGATGGTTAGATAGCATCACCGACTCAATGGACTAGAGTTTGAGCAAACTCCAGGAGATAGTGAAGGACAGGGAAGTCTGGTGTGCTGCAGTCCATGGGGTTGCAAAGAGCTGGACACAACTGAACGACTGAACTAAGGTGTATTATATGACAGGCTAGAGCAGCTATGTCAGTTTTTTGCCATTTCATTTGCAGAGAAATTTTATTCCCTGTTACTCTTATTTCATTGTAAAATTGACTATAGAACATTTATTTATAATATAGTTACATAAAAGGGTTTGTTTAGCATATTTTAGTGAGGAAATAATTCCCCTCCAACCTATATTTTCCAACTGTATGCACACACATAGTTCTTCCCTGTAGCTCAAAAGATAAAAAATCTGCCTGTAATGCAGGGGACCCGGGTTTGATCCCTGGGTCAGGAAGATCCTCTGGAGAAGTGAATGGCAATCCACTCCAGTATTCTGGCCTGGAGAATCCCAGGACAGAGGAGCCTGGTGGGCTACAGTCCATGGGGTCACAAAGTCGGACATGACTGAGCGACTAACACTACTACTACCATGTACACACAATTTGGCCAGTTGAGAAACTCAAATACTCATCTTCTGGAGCCAGCTCCTGTTTTCTCTCCTTTTCCTCTCCCTAATACCCCACTTCTCTGCACCAATCTCCTTTCACTTGAGAGTTAGAGTTGAGACTTCAGAAGAAGTCAAAAGAAATGAAAAAATTGCAAATCAAGGAGGCAGATAATGAGTAAGAGATGAGTGAGGCCTGCAACATACTTCTTAGATCCTCCTAACTATCCAAAGTTGAAGGGGTTTCCAAGTTCCTGTATGGAATTCCTTAGTTGTTCGAAATTTCACATTATCTTCTGTGATTGAGGACTTTTCCCCTCAAAGTAGACTCTTTTTCATGAAGATACATTCAAAAAACTTGTTTAGGGAAATAAAAATTTCATTTGTATCCATTAAAAATGAAGCTGACACATATATATGTAAAACTGAATCACTTTGTTATACATCTAAAATTAACACATTGTAAATTAACTATATTTCAACTTTAAAAAGTTAAACTGCCTTATCAACAATGAAAATAACTGGAATCAGTAATAGCTGATGTAATTAATTCAGTCACTGTATTGACACTATAAAAATTTTATTAAAATAAGTTCCTTCTAGAGATTTACTTTAAAACTGAGAACTGGTTTACTTGGCTTTAAGTTTTGAAATCGAACCACGTAGTTTAACTCTAATACTTGTCACAGTTTTTCTTGAACATAGGTGTGCATGGATTAGAATCATCAGACAGGCGTGTAAAAACACAGATTGCTGGGCCCCATTCTGAGTTCTGATTCAGCAAACCTTGGGCTGAGGCCAGAGAAATTTTGAATTTCAGAAAGTTCCAAGGTATAAAGAAGAATTCTAAAGCTGTCTCACCAGTAATCCCATGCTCTCCTTATTCAATCAAATTCCAGACTAGGAACCCCTGTGAAGGGATTTTGCTGAAGGAATTCAGGTGTTCCTAATCAACTGACTGTAGGCTGTCCCAGAGTTTCTGAGTGGATCCAATGTAATCACGTGAGCCCTTAAAAGTGGAAGGAGGGGGTCAGCGCAGAGAAACCTTCACCATGCCCTTGCTCGCTTCAAAGATGGAGGAGGCTATAAAGCAAGGTCAAGGTCTGTTCTAGAAACAGACAGCTCCAGATAGCTCAAGAAAACAAGGGCCCCAGTCCGACAAGGAACTGAACTCTGATTGAAAAGTGAAAAGTTAGTGGCACGATCGTGTCCGACTCTTTGCGATCCCATGGGCTGTAGCTTGCCATGTCCTCTGTCCGCGGAATTCCCCAGAGAAGAGTACTGGAGTGGGTTGCCATTTCCTTCTCCATACAACCTGAATAAATCTGAAAGTGGATTCATCCCTAGAGCTTCTAGAAGAAGTGCAGCCCTGACGACAGCTTGATTCTGCCCTCATGAAGACTTGAAGACTCCAAGCAGAGAACCAGCTGAGCCACCCTGGGTCCAGGCATCTGACATACAGATAATACTTTGTGTTATTTATTTTTTTAAACAGTTATTTAGTTCTTTGGCTGCACTGGGTCTTAGTTGTGGCATGCGGGAGTTTTTTTTTTAGTTGCAGCCTGAGAGATCTTTATTTGGCATGGAACTCTTAGGTGTGGCCTGTGGGGTCTAGTTCCCTGACCAGGGATGGAATCGGGGCCCCCGTATCGGGGGAGCGGGAAGTCCTGACCAAGAAAGTCCCTCATTTGTGTTATTTTAATTATTAAATTTGTGGCACTTGTTAACAGTGGCAATTGAAACCTAATACACATGGTGATACTGGTCCCAGGAACACAATTTGAGAATCATTGTTTTGTGTTGTGTAAGTCTCTGATTACCAGTTTGGAGACATCTGAAAAAGTTAAATCACTTACCTTCTTTTTCTAACTTCAGTGAATGGATTCAAAAGGGAAGGCTGCTATTTTATTGTTTAAACTGAAAATAACATTTAAAATGTTTAGGAGAAGAGTAAAGCTGCTCTGTTTGCCGGACGGCGGGGAGGGCTGGGATCGGCTCTGGGCGGCGCGAATCCCGGCCGATGCTGCGCTTTCTCTAGACTTCAGTCTTCCGGTCTCCGCCCGCCCGCGAGAGTCGCGCGTGGGCCGTAGCCACGCCCACCTATCAGAACTTCCGGGAAGTGCGCGCGCGTCTCTGTCCGAGTTCCTAGTTCGCACGCAGTGCGAAGCGGAAGGTTCACATTGTTCCTCCTGGTAAACCGTAACCGATTCTCTTCTGGTCCGTCATGTTCCCCAAATCTGAGGTGTTGAGTCAAGATGATCTGCGCAAAAAGCTGTACCAGACTTTTAAGGATCGGGGTGTACTGGACACACTCAAGACACAACTCAGAAACCAGCTGATTCACGAACTGATGCAGCCTGTTCTAAATGGTAAAGTGCAGTCCCCATCCATCTCAGTGGAAGAGAGCTCCCTCTTAATAGGAGCTTCCAACTCTCTAGTGGCCGATCACTTACAGAGATGTGGCTGTGAGTATTCACTGTCTGTCTTCTTTCCGGAAAGTGGTTTGGCAAAAGAAAAGGTACTTACTATGCAGAATCTATTGCATCTTTTAAAAATCAGTCCTGAATCCAGTCTCTACAAGTCACTGATTTCAGGATTTGATAAAGAAAACAAAAAAGGATTTCTTATACAATTTCTGAAAGAATTGGCGGAACATCATCAGAATAAAGGAAGTTGCAATATGGAAACCCAGACAAGTCCAACATTTCCCGTCAAAGACTCTCTTGAGGAGAAGCTTCAGCTTATTGACAGTGAGTTTGCCCGTGCTTGCCCTCAGCAGCCAAAGTTAGAATCCTTAGAAGTCAAGTTAAACGAATATAAGAGGGAAATAGAACAGCGGCTACGGGCAGAAATAAGTCAGAAGTTGAAATACTTTAAAGATACTGAAATAGTGAAAGTTAAAATGGAAGAGAAAAGGAAGTGTGAGAAGGAGTTTGCTGAGTTCCGGAACGAATTTGAGAGAAATTGTCAAGCAAAATCTGAAGCCCTGATGTCTCAGGAAAAGATAACCCTTGAGAGAATTCAAAAGCACCAGGAGAATGAAACAAAAGAAATCTATGCTCAAAGGCAGCTTCTACTAAAAGACATAGATTTGCTGAGAGGCAGAGAAGCCGAGCTGAAGCAAAGAATTGAAGCCTTTGAATTGGCCCAGAGGCTGCAAGAAGAAAAAACTAAAAGCGTGACTGATGGACTGAGGAGACGGGAGTTTAATATAAAGAGCATTGAGGAGACCTATGACCAAAAGCTCAAGAACGAACTTCTAAAGTATCAACTTGAACTGAAGGAGGACTATATCACTAGAACCAACAGACTGATCGAAGATGAAAGGAAAAATAAAGAGAAAGCTATACATTTGCAAGAGGAACTTGCAGCTCTTAATTGTAAAAAGGAAGAACTTGATCGTTCTATAAACCGTGTGAAAGAACTCGAGCTTGAGTTGGAGTCTGTCAGAGCACAGTGTTTGGCATTAACAAAGCAAAACCACATGCTAAGCGAGAAGGTTAAAGAGACGAGTGACTATTCTCTACTGAAAGAAGGAAAACTGGAGCTTCAGGCACAAAATCAACTACTTAAACAACAAGTGGAAGACATGAAAAGTGAAAACATGCATCTCCTAAACCGCATAGATCAGCCGTCTTCCGAACTGCTGATTTTTCAGGAAGAATTAAGGAAAGCAGAAAACGCTATTGCATTTGAGCATAAGGAGTTTGAAACCCACAAGCAAGCTCTACAAAAACAGCTTCAAAGCAAAATTGAGCACTCCACCCAGCTGAAGGCCCAGGTATTAGAATATGATGCTTCTGTCAAGAGGTTAACTACACAGGTTTCAATTTTAAAATCACAACTAAAACAAACTCAGACAGTGCTAGAGAACGAAGTGTACTGCAACCCAAAGCACTATCTGCTGAATCACTCCATCAGCGGGTTAATGAGCACCAGGGCGGTGCCTCGTGATGGCGACATCAGTGGGGATTTCTTGAAAAATCCTCTGAGACCAGAGGAGGCGACAGCAGGCCCAGTTACACCGCGAATCCTCAAATACCCAAATGCCAGCGCAGAGGGCAGTTCCCCTGATTCTGACCTCGAGTTTGTAGCCAGTACCAAGGTAAGGGTGAGAGAGCTGGAACAGGAGGCAGAGCGCCTGGAAAAAGCTTTCCAGAGCTACCATCAAAGGGTCGGTCAGTGCCCTGCCAAGAGCCACTTGGCAGCCAGGAGCCCACCCCCGCTGCGTCTGCCCGGGACTTTCAAGAACATCACTGCAGCTGTTCCCGAGAGGTGTGTGTTTGTGGACGCCAGAGTCACCTCTCAGCAGCCTCCGGTGAGCACATGCGGAGGGGACGGGAGCGAGGTGTCCGAGGTGGCCAGCAGCATGGCCTCAAGGTCACACAAGAGCGTAACCTCCAGACGGCTCTCCTCCACGCCACTCCCCAAAGCGAGAAGCCTTGATAGTGAAGTGTACCTGGAAGGTCTGGGCCGGTCCACTGTGACTGCCACCTGTCCCGACAGAAAGCCACAGCCTTCGCCTGCCGAGTCCAGGCCCAGCCTTTCTGCGCGCTCGCTGGCCAGCCCTCTGGAGCAGAAGGCCGGTCTTTATCAAAGACCTACAGAACTTCAAGACAAAAGTGGATTTTCAAATCCGGACAAGCTCGTTTTTAAGGATAATGAGGAGTTTGAACCATCTTTTGAATATGGACAGAGTGTGCCAGGGCAGTTTGAGAGAGATGGCCTCCATCATGCTGGAGACATGCCTCGCGGGGACGGCGCCACAGCCCCTGTGCCCACCAGGCCCATCTCGTTTCAGCACTTGGGTGTCAACCAGAAATTGCCTGGAGAACAGAAGGAAGAAGAAAAACTCCGAGAACAGCAGGCGAGGGAACGAAGGCAGGGAGAAGAGCAGAGGCAGGGCGAGAGGCAGGAAACTCTGCAGAGGGAGCGGCGAGAACTTGAGAAGCTGGATCAGGAAAGGAGGCTAATTGAAGAATCATTAAAGTTGGAAATTGAAAAAGAATACGAATCAAGTGTTCAGGAAATGAAAGACAAATCTAAATCTGTTTGTGGTGAAAATCCTCTAGAGAAATACATGAAAATCCTGCAACAGAATCCAGACCAGGACACCACGGATAAGAGTTCAAAAAAGGTGTTCAGAGAGAGCTCACAGTTGGACACGCTACCATCTAGTGACAAAGATGAAAGTTTTGCGGCCTTTTCCCATGAGGAACCAGATGACATTTGGTAGCCGTGTTTGCTGCCCAGCCTCTTACTCTGATATCATAATTAACGGCCTGTGAGTTCTGTGTAGTGAGACAAACTCCTCAATAAAAATCATGTGAAATCCAAAAAAAAAAAAAAAATGTTTAGGAGAGTACTTAACCCTTGATGAGTGTTCAAAGAGAGTAGCTATAATAATAACTTTTATTAGTGGGTAGCATTTATTAAAATCTCCATGCCAGGCACTGTGCTAATTATTTACTATGAATTTACCAGATGTATCCTCATTAACTCTGAGGTAGATGTTATCATTGTTCTCATTTATCAATGTGCAATCTAAGGCTAGGAGGAAACTTGCCCAGAATCAGGCAGTCAGTAAAAACTGGGGGTGATATATGAACCCCGACAGCGTGACTCTAGAACCAAAACTCTTAATTGCGGTTGAGTTCCTTTATGTTATTTCACATCTGCTTATGTATGCACATCTAGTTTGCCACTTGAGTTAAGCATCCCTATATAGTTTTACAAAATAATAAAACCTAAGCTGTATGCTTTTGTCTTTGTTAAACTTGGCTAACTAGCATAACAAAGTATATCTATATCATTTATCCAGTCAGTATATATTAAACACATGTTGTATATGAAGCACTGGGTTGGGATTGAGTTTACAAACTTACGAGTGGTTTCTACCCCTTTTGGATTTATGATATTAAGATCAGCACCCCTGGTGTACTTAGGGAAACACTATAGCATCATTCCTAGTAAAATCAGAAACAATACAATAATGCTGTCATATTATTTGGCATGATCCATGCAGTGCAGCTAGCCTTGCCAAATTTAGCAAGTAAAAATGTAGGATGCCCAGTTACACATTAATTTCAGGAAAAAAAGTTTCTTATTAGTATCGGTATGTTTAAAATACTGCATGTAAAATACTTAAAGAGTTACCAGTTCTTTAAATTAAAACAATGTTTTTGATCTCTTATTTTAATCTGGCTACTTTAAACAGCTTTGGTGCCAAAAATCACAAACAAGACTGATGTCAAGGGGTTTACTACCTATGTTTTCTTCTAGGAGTTTTGTGGATTTAGGTCTTATGTTGAAGTTTTAACCCATTCTCAATTGATTTTTGTATATGGTATAAGGTATTAGTACAGTTTCATTCTTTTGCCTGTGGCTGTCCAGTTTTCCTAGCATCATTTTTTGAAAAGGGGCTTCCCCAGGGACTCAGCAGGTAAAGAATCCACCTGCAATGCAGGAGATGGTGGGAGACTTGGGTTCAACCTCTGGGGCGGGAAGATCCTTTGTAAGAGGGCATGGCAGCCCATTCCAGTATTCTTGCCTGAGAAACCCAGGGACAGAGGGTCCTGGTGGGCTGCAACCCATATGATCACAAAGAGTGGGACATGAGTGAAGTGACTGAGCACACACAGCCCTTCCCCACTGTATATTCTTGGTTCCTTTGTTGTAAGTTTATTGACCACATATGTGAGTTTGTTTCTGGGATTTCTATTCTTTTCTACTGATCTATGTGTCTGTTTGTATACCAGTACCACAGTTTCAATTACTCTAAGTTTGTAAAATATATTGAAATTGGGCTTTATCCTCTTTCTCAAGATTGCCTTGACTCTGAGTCTTTTGTAGTTTCATGCACATTTATCAGTTATTTATTCTATTTCTGTGAAATATTCCATTGGAATTTTGATAGGGATTGATAATAATTATTGGAATAATAACAATATTAACAATAATTAATAATATGTTAATATTAAGGATATATTAATTTTTGTATCCTGAAAGTTTATTGAATTTATATGTTAGTACCAACAGTTTCTTGGTGGAGTCTTTAGGTATTCCTATACGTAGTATCTTGTCATCTTCAAGTAATGACAGTTTTACTTCTTGTTTCCCATTTGGGTGCCTTTTATCTATTTTTCTTGTACTAAAAACAATAATCAATAATAAAAAGACAAAAGTTACCAAAAAATATGACATAACATGAAGGAAAAATGTAAGGGGGATGAAAATTTTTGAAGAAAATGTATAGCCATGTGAAACATTTTCAGATGTCATTTCTTCTTGAATAGTATATTTAATGCAATCATAGATAAAATACTAGTGGCATGAGGGGTGAAAAGTGAGATGAGGGAGTTTGAAAAATGAATATAAAATTTTCTAAAGAGGTTCAGTTCAGTTCAATCTCTCAGACGTGTCCGACTCTTTGCGACCCCATGAAGAGCAGCACGCCAGGCCTCCCTGTCCATCACAAACTCCCGGAGTTTACTCAAACTCATGCCCATCGAGTTGGTGATGCCATCCAGCCATCTCATCCTCCGTCCTCCCCTCTCCTCCTGCCTCCAATCCCTCTCAGCATCAGGGTCTTTTCCAATGAGTCAACTCTTCGCATGAGGTGGCCAAAGTATTGGAGTTTCAGCTTCAGCATCAGTCCTTCCATTGAACACCCAGGACTTATCTCCTTTAGGATGGACTGGTTGGATCTCCTTGCAGTCCAAGGGACTGAAGAGTCTTCTCCAACACCATAGTTCAAAAGCATCAATTCTTCGGTGCTCAGCTTTCTTCACAGTGAACTCTTACATCCATACATAACCACTGGAAAAACCATAGCCTTGACCAGACAGACTTTTGTTGGCAAAGTAATGTCCCTGCTTTTTAATATGCTATCTAGGTTGGTCATCACTTTCCTTCCAAGGAGTAAGCATCTTTTAATTTCTTGGCTGCAGTCACCATCTGCAGTGATTTTGGGGCCCCCAAAAATAAAGTCTGACACTGTTTCCACTGTCTCCCCATCTATTTCCCATGAGGTGATGGAACTAGATGCCATGATCTTAGTTTTCTGAATGTTAAGCTTTAAGCCAACTTTTTCACTCTTCTCTTTCACTTTCATCAAGAGGCTTTTTAGTTCCTCTTCATTCTCTGCCATAAGGGTGGTGTCATCTGCATATCTGAGGTTATTTATATTTCTCACAGCAATTTTGATTCTAGCTTGTGCTTCTTCCAGCCCAGCGTTTCTCATGATGTACTCTGCATATAAGTTAAATAAGCAGGGTGACAATATACAGCCTTGACGTATTCTTTTTCCTATTTGGAACCAGTCTGTTGTTCCATGTCCAGTTTTAACTGTTGCTTCCTGACCTGCATACAGGTTTCTCAAGAGGCAGGTCAGGTGGTCTGGTATTCCCATCTCTTTCAGAATTTTCCACAGTTTATTGTGATCCACACAGTCGAAGGCTTTGGCGTAGTCAATAAAGCAGAAGTAGATGTTTTTCTGGAACTCTCTTGCTTTTTCGATGATCCAGTGGATATTGGCAATTTGATCTCTGGTTCCTCTGCCTTTTCTAAAACCAACTTGAACATCTGGAAGTTCTTGGTTCATGTATCGCTGAAGCCTGGCTTGGAGAATTTTGAGCATTACCTTACTAGCTTGTTAGATGAGTACAATTGTGCGATAGTTTGAGCATTCTTTGGGATTGCCTTTCTTAGGGATTGGAATGAAAACTGACCTTTTCCAGTCCTGTGACCATTGCTGAGTTTTCCAAATTTTCTGGCATATTGAGTGCAACACTTTCACAGCATCATCTTTCAGGATTTGAAATAAAAGTGTATAAATAGCTTAACTCTGCAAGAGGAAAAAAAGGGATGGGGGTTGAAAGGGACAGAGATATAGACAAATATTTTGTGCAAGAGAGTTGGCTTGATAAACAGTCTCCTAAATAGAATTAAGCCAAGGGATTGTTTGTGTAACTCCTATGATGAAAGAGGGATTAAGTTCCAAGTATAAAATTTTTGTGGAATAGCACTGTGAAGCCCCACCATGTACAGGATAGTGTCACTGGGCTATATGGCCTCTGCCACTGACATTCTGGGGTGTGGGCAGAGGAAGCCACGTTGAGGTTTGAAGCATTTGCCTCAGCTTTGTGCAGCCACCTCATTTTAGCAAATTGGCTAAATAAATCAGAAAGTGTGTGTATGCGAGTGTGCGTGTGTGTCATACTCTTCCTGCTAATCTGTGGTCCACCTGACTTTCTGCAAAGGCACAAGTTAATATTAACTTATTTTGAAGCCAAGACAAAAACCCATAATGCAAAAAGATTTTTAGATTGGACTTTACAAAAAATACAACTTACACTTAGCTTCAAAGAAACTATTTTATAATATCTAACAAAATGTCGGCATTCTTTTTTTTTTTTTTTTGGTGGTTGGAGCGAATAGTTTTCATTTTTTATAAATACACCAAAGAATCATGCAATGCTGTCAGCATTGAATGCAGTCCTGCTTCACATTCCTTTAATTGGTCCCACGATGGCAGAACCTTTCATCTTGCTTTTACAGTTTACTATGACCTCTGCGTTATCTTCAAAATAAACACACTATCTTTTCTGCAGTATGATTTTCATTGTTGAATTACCACTGCTGGATGTACCTTCTTTCTGAGCTCTGGTTTGCATTTCTTGACTATGGCCATCAGCATCACCCATACCAGCAACAGGAAGTCTACTCTGTCTTCCCTGGATCCCCTTCACAGAGATGATACACAGACTTTTGGCTCCTGTGTTGTCAGCACAGGTGATCGTGGATGGCTTCAACTGGAAGACCCAAAGAAATCTGGAATTTTGCACCAGAGGATGACCCACCATATCCTCACTTTGGCGTGTTGAATGCTGGAAAAGGGACAAAAAGGATAATGCCAATATTCTTAATATACAAATAACAGTTTCAATTTTATACAAAAAAGAAAAAGACACATAATAGAAAATGGGTATTTACCCAAAAAAAGGCATAGTAAAGATCAATAAACCTATAAAAATTTCAAGTAGTTTTTAAGTTTCTATGTTTTAAAACCTCTGAGCCTGATGAGGTTTGAGGTGGATAATTGGCAAAAGGTAATGAACACTATTGTAAATAGTGGAGGAAATGTGTCATGAGTTGGGGAGCAACTGAGAGTCTACCATACTGGCAAGACCAATAAGCTAGGTTGTCACAGTTCTTGGATGCCCAGGTCAGAGACAA